CACAAAACTCAAACAAATCGAACTAAAAAGGTGATATTCGTAATCAGCACAAAATTCTGCATCGGATGATGTGTCTTTCAAGGAAAAATGAAGAGTGCTTGATTTTTGAATTAGCGGCACCTTACGTCAATCTCCCTGGTACTCTTTGATCAGTTGCTCAACCCGTCTTTGTTTAGTTAGTACTACTGTCTCAAATTCCTGTTCATATTCTTTCTCTGTTTATTCCAGACATTTTCCGAAGTTAATAGAGAAGACACTAGAAAAGCGAACATCTTCCAGTGAAGTGTCTACAAGCAATTCTAAGCATAAAACTGAGATTTTGATTTGCATACGTTTTGCTTTTTAACTGCTAACTTTAAAAATTGATTCACATCATTTTTGAAAGAAAAAACAGAGCCTCAGCAAGTTTTCCTTCAAAAGGAAATCTTTACAAGAAAACCTTCACTTCTTTTAAGAATGTAGTGTAAAAAGTGTCCATAAATTCTGAGATTTTCGGACTTTTCTGGCCAAAGTTCGATGCAACTCCCAGGACTATAGTTAAATTTTTGAGATTCCGGTACGACTTGGAGTAGAGATGAGCTGCAATGAGATTTTTAGTGATGGTAAACAGCAACCAAACCTAAAATACCGTGTGCAGAATTGGTTTTGTGTGTGATTGTTGCTATGCAGATGAAAGACGCTACAGAGAAGATAAACTTGCAACTTGGCAAGACGAAGAATGTTTCCCGTGTGGCCATTTTAGGAGACTCCATTGGGTGGGCATTCAAAGGGGATTATAGCGTAGTCAAGTTTTTCGTCTATAATCTGACTGAAAAACCTAAGATATTTAACTGAAATATATTGGACAAAAACCGCTTTTCTTCGTTTTCTAGCTAGCATATCATTTCAATCACATGGCTCAAAGGCAAAAATCAGCAAAATTGTACAGAATTAGGGCGCTCTCGAAAACGCAGGGGAAAAGTTTTGTTTTTGTAAAATCTATCATTAATCACCGAAAAAATATGCTTGACTACAAATTCCAATCAATGCTAGCCGGGAGATTATTCATGAATGATCCCATGCGATGCAAACATTTTTTCCTAAAAAAAAACGTTCTCACACAGAGATTGACGTTCGTTCAAAGAGATTCGGATAAACGGAGTGGGAATTAGAGGCACTTACCACTAAATTATAGTGCCATGTCATCGAAGCGGCTCTCGTACCGTGTCGATCGAATAATGTTAATTGATTAGTTTCATATTCTTGTACAAGCAAATATTCACTCGAGCCACCTATTGCCCAATAACTGCCAACTGACGACTTGGCGGTAGGCTCTCGGATGAGATATTCGCCGAGCGCTGTTTGCGGTACATAAACACCACATTCTTGAGTTGCAACTTGAGAAGTGCAACTAATTGATACTTGTTCTCTTGTTGAATTTCTCGTTTCAAGTTCTAACATCGGTCCTCGATCGTGATGTCGAACAAGATGAAGATCTGCCGGTGGACGACCATATTCGATTTGTAACTTTTCCAATTGATTCGGCAAAAACTCCCGATTTGTTGATGCATTGACCAAATTCTATGACTCCTCATCAGAGTGTGATCGATAAGTGTGGATGTGTGCATCGAGTGTTCTAGTAGATTGATCTGCCGACTGATTTACTTCATTAATCATTTCACGTCTCCAATTTTCAATACTCGCCCGAAGTTTGTCTTCGATCGGTTGAAATTCAGCAAGACAAGTCGATAGGGGCTGACTATGCATTCGCGCGTTCTCAGGGTATCTTTCGTAGGTTTGACGGTGTTGACCAAAGTGATTCCAGCAAAAGTGTCGATTGCAAGAGACACAAATAGCCACATATGGGATAGTACACAAAAAACATGAAGAAATACTTGCACGTTCCGCCATTTAGGATCGGTAACGTTGTGGTCTTTACTTTCTTCACAATCGCAAACTAAAGTAAGGTGTCGTTATCATGCAGATTTATTCTCTATGCACGGATGAAAAAAGATTGTTTTTTCTTTCATATATTTACTTAAGCGATATAAGAGTGAGAACAAGAACAGTACACCCTCGAGGAAGTGCCTCGAGGAAGTGCAAACCGTTTTAAAGAAAAGAACAATGTACTTTTCTGCAGCTGTCAAAAATATTGTATGTTATGACGACGGTGCAGAAACTTCGAGTAAAAATATGAATAACATCTACCACTGTTAGATTGAGTTTGCGTTTTTCATGTTTGCATAAACTGTTTGTAATGCTGTTGGTTGTAGTTTATTTTCAACCATATAACAGTTCTCTTTGGCAAGAATTATTATTTCTATTCGGAAAACATGTGTATCACCAAATCGAACAACTGAACCACAATTATTACATTAAATTAAAATTGTTAAAATTGTTTTCAAGGAAAAGTGTGGGTACGAAAGTTATTCAGCATCAGATTCTCTGGAATATGAACGAAGGATTTTTCAAAATTCGTTAAACTGGACATTTAAATTAAATTTTATTAAATTTTAAAAACCGTATTTTTCAATTTAAAAATTGAGTTTAATGAATTTTGAAAAATCCTTTGTTTATATTCCAGGGAATCTGATGCTGAACAACTTTTGTACCCACACTTTTCCTTGAAAATGCTTCCTTCGAGCGAAATTTGGTTCAAGGTGTTTTTAAAAATACTTCTTGCTCCAAAATGCCATCGGGCAGGTCAAAGCGGAATAACTCAGTCAAAGCTTGACTGAAAGCTTGACAGAATTTTTTGCAGATACATTTTGATGTCCTCTGTCGATTGACATCAAAACCGAGATTATATGTAGAAATCTGAAAATTTTATTAAATTTTTAAAAATGGACCAAAAAACCGAGACTAAACTTAAAAAATTGTTTTCTCAAAAACTACAGGTCCGTTAGCCGAAAAACGTTTTGGAATATATACTTCAAAGTGTCCTCTAGAAGCTGACAGGAAAAACCCAGTGGGGAGACCCTTCCTTAAGTTCTTTGGGGCACAGAAATAATAATTCACCTATGTATGATCATAGACGCTAATCCTTTAGCAGATTTTTCCCTTGTAGGATGATGGACTGAGTGACAGTTAGTTGGGAAAAATACTGCTAAAGGAGTATCTTCATAGGCATAGCACTTATTAAATAATGTAACGAAAAGAAAAAAAACTAAAAAGTTTCTTTGAAAAATGAAGCACAAAAGTTCTATACCTGTTTTTCCTGTAATAAATGTCCCAAATCGGAATCTGAAAAAAGGCAAGACTCAATTTTTATTCTTCCGCAAAATGAAAAAACCAATGTGTTGGTTTAAGGTATTACGCATGGATGTTGAATGTACTAGATAATCGTATGGCATCGTAGTTTGAATAATTTCTATTGCTAAACAAATTAGAAATATTTAGCAGCACCGTCTACGGTAAACCGATCACTCAAACCTTCACTCAAAAACTTATAAGTGGTGTAAAGAAAAATTGTAAAGCGGGCGCTGCTAAAAATCAAAATTACATCACCTTCAGCGCCGGTTTGTTGTTCCAAAGCTCTTGCAGCATGGTCGCCTTGGAAATAATTTTTGTTAGTGGATTCCGTTGATTTCGTTTTCGTTTTTCTTGATTTATAAGGACCTGACTCGGTGTACTTGTCATTGTTATGTTTGATTTGTCCGTTGAAATCATCGTCGTTCAATTGTTGTTCGTATACTGACCATTTGCTTCACAATTGATTCATCCTAATTTAGATCACGAAAACTTTTTTTAAAGATTAATTTTATCGCACTCTGTTCCCTAGACAATAGTGAGAAAAATAAATTTTCTTTGTTCTAAAACTTTTTAAAAGCCAGCGTATATTTAGGTATTCGAGTTTATCGATAGCAAACAGCAACACCTACAGTGCAAAATGCATTTATTTATCGAAGAGCGCTGATGGCACAATGGTCAAAATCACTGTCTATCTCTGTGAAAAAAGTCGTGTCACAATGAGTGGCTTAGAATTCGTTAAAACGAACTTGCTAGCTCATCTAGGCGATCAATTGACAATTAACAGAGCAACCAAAGACGATTGTGTTTTTTGTTATCTTTCGTTTGCGAATTTTTAAACAAATGTCGTTTTTCGTTTTTGCGCTCAAAAATATCACTTAGAATTTTAATAAAACAAAGTTGTGCGCCACCAAAGGAAAACAAATTGAAATAGAGAATCTCAGTTTATTCAATCTTCTAGTATGATACCAATTTCAGAAATGAGTGTTAGTTACGAAGAAAAATATAAGAATTTAAAAGTAAAATACAAGCAAAATAAGATTGTATTAGCTGAAAAACATAAAGAATTAGAAGAGAAGAAAAAAAAAATGCTTTTCGTAAGTGTTTTACATTTTCCTCATATTCATAGTTCTATATGTCCATTTTCAATTTATACAGCTATGCCGAGAAGCGATTCAATATATCATTTCGGAATTCGAAAAGCAACCGAGTGTATTGTAGGCATCTCAATTCTAAGTTTGGCCGGCCAAAAGCAGAATTCCAGTTTTGGCGGGCCAAATTCGGAATCTGGCCGAATTCTAAGTTTGGCCACAACATATACATTCAGTTGTTTTTTCTCATTCTTATTTTTCGCTTTTCACTATTCACTAACTTTTCCCTCTATTTCTTTGTGTTCTTATGAACATATTCCTAAAAACATAAAGAAATAGAAGGAAAAGCGAAAAGCGACAAATAAGAATGAGAAAGAACAACTGAATGTATATGTAGTTTTGTGTTTTTTATTTTAAACTACTGCTGATGATGATTACAGATCGTAATCGAAATTTTCGCTTTTTTAAATAAAAATTAATGGTTGTTATGTGCATACGATGAAATTCATGCAGTGTTGGTAACGACTTTGGTCTTGCTAAGTACAGGTATGTGTGGTTTAATTTGCTGGACTCCGTCTAAGACAACAGGTACACCTATCATACAGAAGGTAACGGTCAATCGAGCTCTCAGACAATAGAGACATTTTTCACTAATATTTTAATCTGTAAAATCACAAAATAAACGAATCACTCGTTTCTGTTTAATCAAACAAATTTTTTATCTTATTTCAACCACACTAGCCCTTTCACTCGAGCTCGGGTTATGACAAAAGATAACCAGCGTGCTCTCTTTCAGACATAATATGCTCTGATCATAACCTATACAGCCATCGATGTAGTATACTGACAGTGTTGCTATCACTTGAGCATGCGTCAATTTGATGGTTTTTGGTAGTGTTTAAAACGCAATTTTAATAAATCGCAGTTCTTCTTATAGAATAAGCATTCATCAAAGTCAGTTTTAGTCAGCACTGTGGCACCCGTATCTTAATTCTCAATAAATTTACGCCCTTAAATACGTGCCTGAAATATGCGCCGTTCAACGGTGAAGTAGGAGTGGATCACTGTTAGGAAAGCAAATAGATACATAGCCTAACTACATCAGTTTTTGAATGTTTTTTAGATACCTAGAACAAAGACAAACGATTTAAACGACTGATTCTCCCAATAGGGAACATCAGGGGTTTCGATCTGAAAAACGGAGAAAATCGTAGTCGCGAAACGCTTAAAGTGCACGGAATTCAAACTTCACGTGAAACGTTTTTTGACTTTGTTATATATATTCAGATTCGCCGCCTCAAGCCAGTCACGAATACCACCTTTCCAGATTCTAAAAACCCTTTCTTAGTGAAGAAAACCACGAAATACTGGAAGGCTCTCAAAAACATCTAGTCGCCAAGACAGTTCAAACGTATGCCTCTCAAAAATGGTGCTCAGTTTTGCAAACTTAACACAGGTTTCTGTGTAAGATCTGGAACCGCTATTGCACATGGCTTGATTCGCCAGAAGCTAAGCTTCAAGAATATATCTCGCTATTGAAAGGAAATTTTTTCTTCGCTGAGAAAATGCATTTTTTCTAAATAAGAGGCGAAAAACTTCGGAATTCTGTCCGTAATTCTCACTTTTCACGATCAGAACTCAACTTTTGAGCAATAAAAATATTATATTCGGAATCAGAATCAAAAAGCTGAGCTGATGATATGTATTTTGCAAGTTTTAGTTGATTTTCACTTTTGAGTAAAATTCTCGATAATTTTTCAGCGTGAAAATTTGAAAAAAGTCAAAGTAGTCAGATAGGATAGAAATACATATCATCAACTCAATTTTTTATCCAAATTCCGAAAATAATATTTTTATTGCTCAAAAGTTGAGTTCTGATTGTGAAAAGTGAGAATTACGGGCAGAATTCCGAAGTTTTTCGCCTCTTATTTAGAAAAAATGCATTTTCTCAGTGAAGAAAAATTTTCCTTTTAATGGCGAGATATATTCTTGAAGCTTAGCTTCTGGCGAACCAAGCCATGTGCAATAGCGGTTCCAGACCTTACACAGAACTCTGTGTTAAGTTTGCAAAACTGAGCACCGGTTTTGAGAGGCATACGTTTCAACTGTCTTAGTGACTAGACGTCCGGTTCTGAAATCGTTTGAAGACTGTTTTCTTGTTCAGTTTTGAATACTGAATCACAAAAATATAAGTTCCGAAGCATATAATTGGAGAAAGTCGGAAAAATCGGCGTTTCCCTGTAGCGAATGTTTTTGAGAGCCTTTCGATGTTCCGTTGTTTTTTCTACCAAGAAAGGGATTTTAGAATCTGGGATAGTGGTATGGTGACCCGCCTGAGACGAAGAATCTGAATATGTATAAGAAAGTCAAAAAAGATTCCACTTGCAGTTTGGATTCCGTGCACCTAACTAGTCGTTTACAACAAAC